TCCCCTGTATTATATTGTGCCCGCGAGGCAGAAAGCGATCGGCATCAGATATTATGTCTTCGATTTCCCCTCGATCTCGCCTGAATCTATATAATCGGATGATATCGCTTATCATTACTAATAACGTCTTGTTACGCAGTCGAAACGTATCATCGCATCTCCAATAGTGTTTCGAATCGCCCGTAAATTGTCCAACTATGTCGATCGTATCACTTACGGATCCGTCTGACCGTACAATCGACTCGCATCACTTATCTCGATCCGCGATCAAGGTAAAGGGTGACTCGCAGGATCGATCGCGTCTCAAGATAGAGCACGCTCCGCGGAGAAGGATAGCTCGTGAATCCGCTCGATTCTTCTTTTATTATTTATGCGTCCTCCATCGCGATCAGTTTCGAGTGTGGAAAATTGCCGTCGCGACCCCGTCGATTTATTTAATGGCCCGCATCCGTTTCGCCACATAAGCGGATCGTCAGACACGGGGAGATCCCCGAAGCGTGCCGAATCATTTCCGTTCTCTGTCCTTGAGAGGCTGTCCGTTATGAAAAATGAACGGTCGATCGGCGAATACAAGGCGGGGAAAGGACGATTAATTTGAAGCAGACGGGAATTGAATGAATCGTGCGAATGATACGAATCGCGTACATGATTTTTCGATTACGAGACTCTCTACGCGTTTATGATGAGAGAGAGAGAGACGGAAGCTCGGAGAAATATTGCTCGAAAATCATCGCGATCATTCGACGGACTCTAATATCCTCTCTTGCGCAAATCTACGATTAACCTGTCAAAGATTTCGCCAATTAATCGCATCGCATTACTCACTCTTTTCCAAGCCAATGTCCATCTTGTCCCGTCCCTCGAGAATCGCCAGCAACATTTATCTCGGATGTATAGGGGAGGTTCACGCTGAAGTAATCTTAAGTCGTTATCAAATTGTCCCGATAAATTCGCCAGGCGACGGCTCTGGGAAGCGTAAGCGAGACACGCCGCAAGTCCTTCATCGTGTCCTCGATCTGAGGGAATCTCCGTTGATCGCTACACCAAATCAGATCGTTCCAGACGTCGTTCGCCGGGGGAGAGGCAGGAGGGGGCTCTATCGAACTGCAACTCTATGGACGACGAGCGTCCTCGTCGCTCGCGAATCCTTCCTCCAGTCCAGAATCCACCGTTAGCGGCAGCCAAAGTCCAGCGAACATTTCGCGAAATTGTTGATCCCAGTCACGTTCGAAACAACCTCGTGTTGGCACTCGAGACGGACTCCAATTCCGATAGCTGGCGCGAATATCGAGCTGACGGTGAAGCTGATAGAGACTCTCGATTCGCTCGGCAATGACGGAAAACGTCGACGAGATCCTCCTCTCCTGGAGAAGAGATCGCGGTAGGAGAAAGAGAGAGAGAGAGAGACAGAGAGAGACGGTCGGAGCGGGAACGCGGAGCAACGGCAGCGGGTTCACGAGAAATGCACCTCGCCGGTTTATACGTACGGACGCACCCCCGTGGTCGGCGGCAGGGCGCAGGATCGTGCCGGGGGTGACTGCGACGTCTGCGCAGTCGAGGAACCGCATGCGGGAATGCGTACCCGACCTGGCCTTCCTCCTCTCCTCTCGTCCCCTTCTCTCCCCCTCTCACCCCTCTTTCTCTTCTTGCTCTCCTATAAATGTTTTTTTCGCTTTTATTACGCGCGCACGAATGCACTTTTTATTCCCGTTCGATTACATTAATGACGACGAGAATTCGCATTGGCTCTGAGGAAGCTCGGATTCGCGGTTGCGGTTTTTCCCAGGTCACCGATAAATGTCTTCCTTTCTCTCGGTGCGCTCTCCTTTACTTTATCTCTCATTTTCCGTCTTTCGTTCGCGTATCTTACTCTCCTCGCGAATCTCCTCTCGACGCACGACTCGAGGTGACGACGCTTTAAGTACGCTCGTCAAACGTAAGAACAGAGTGAGTGGGCTGGTGTCATTACGCAAGACTTATCCGGTTTTCGGAGAACCGTATTAATATCTTGTTCGTCCTCTTTCGTTGCATAATTCAAAGATAAAATGAAAGCAAAAAATTCCATCTTTAAACCTCCTAAACAGGACATATTCTCTATTTTTCTCTAATTAAATGTTGCAATTTAACAGGGTCGATGTAAATTCGATCCGTTTCAATGTAGTGGTCCGGATCCATAATTTATCCGCATTGTCGCTCGTTTGTGTGCTAAATCAATTTGCATCGTGAATTCTTAAAGTTCGAAAATTTTTCTCCTTATGTGACTTTCTTTGACGAACGATATAACGATAAATGTGGAATTTATTCCAATAATATTATTTTATGCAATTTTATACTTTATCTCTTTTACTACGATTTTTATCATAGTTTAGTTTTGAATTCACACATGAATTTATTGTTTTCACACATGCTTTCATTGAATGTAACAATTTTTGACAATGTGTCCTCAAATTTAGTTATACTTTTACTTTTAAAATACATTTGTTAAAAATATTTTGAAAGGAAAAATATACATATACATTTTCTTCTTTTCAAATTTTTTATATTTTAGATTTTTATATTATTATTTATTTTTATACATTTTTAAAATATATTTTAAAAATATGTTAAAGAAACTACGATACAAAGTGATAGACAGCATGATGCTTGTGGATATATATTTTAATTTTGAACTTTTAGCTAAAGCTTAAAAATGGAATGATATATGTAAGGTATCTTTTCTCCTGGGTTCATATTTTATTTCAATTTAAAACTGCAATTGACTAGCAGTCATTAATATTATTTTATATTCTACGTTATCATCTCGTCATTTAAAGTTTTCACGCGAATCGCGAACTGGAACGGGCGGAAAAATCGATGCTAGCTAAACGACCGGCTTTTTAATATACATCCAGATCCGTTTATATCTGACGCGTCGTATTGTACTTAACATTCGGTGATGTGTCGGAATATTTTCGACGTCCTCTCGTTGTCGACGAGGGATGTCGAGTGGACGAAATCGGGACGGGAACGTCTCAAATATCGATGGCACTCTATGTCATCGATAGGCGGTGTATACTTGAGATTTTTTTATTCATAATCGCGCGCACACACGAGTGCCAGGCACTTTTGCGCGAATGCTTTCAGTCGTCTCTGCGAATAATTTCAGATGTCGCGGATATATACAGGGTGTTTTAAATTATCATGACAGGTTGATAAATAACTACTAATTTATAAATGAAAAAAATTGAATATTCTTGTGAAAACAATTAATTTAATTATTTTTTAAATTCATTTTAATATTTAATTTTTTAGCGACGCGTTTATTGAGGATTTTTTTGCTTTCTCTCCCGATATATTCCTTTCGACTTTGTGATATTCGATCATTCCCGATTCGTGCAATCCTTCCTCCTCCGCGTTTTGCGCCTTTCGCTTTATTTAACTTTCACACTTTCTTAGCCGCATTTCCGGCTTGCGTCTCCTTGAATCCCTTTCTTTTCACGTAATTTGACGCGAAAGCGACACTTCCGATATTGTCTGTCATGCATGTATCCCAATATATCTCGCGTACGCGTCTGATATCCATTCTCCCCCGAAAAATGATCCGATAAACGGACAAGAAAGAAATGTCTGATGTGCAAAACTCTTGGGAACCGATAAAATTCTTGGCGATGATAAAAGTTTAGTCGCGCTCGCTTCGATTTGTTCCGAAGATCGTCGAAATATTATCAAAATTGACATTTAACATTTCTAAATAGAGTCTGCTATAATAGCGCGGACTATATTTTAAAAAGTGACTTTATTAGTAAAACGATGAAAAGATTAAAAAAGAAGTAAAAGCGATTTTTATTTATTTCGCACAAATTTTTTTTTCTTCTGTCTCTTTCTTTCGAAAAAAAGAGGTGCAGGTGCAATGCTTGTATTCCCCTCGCGACGCCGAATGGCCGTAGATGTAAAATTTATCGTTTACGACCTTTATGTCACTGTCGTGCAGTAGTATAGCACTTGCACTCGATCGTTTGATCGTACTTGTTTCTCGTTTATTCCACGGCTCTTGGTATCGCGTGGGATTTCAAGGAGAGGACTAGGAATATCAAAGATATATCTACACACACATATACACACACAGGGAATATTAAAGCTACACTTACGCGTGCATAGCACAAGCGATTGCACTTTTGCTCGCATGGATTACGCCTCTGGCGCAAAAGTAGCCGTTCTCGCGAGAGATAAACGCGATTTTTAACGATATCGTCTCGCGTTCTTTTCTCGTGTCATTAGTTCAGTCTCCGGAAGACGTTTCGTCCCACTTTCCGCTGCTTACCGAGATCGATGCATTGCAAATACGCAGATAGAGCATTAATTACAAAGAACAATCCCTTTCTCTATCTCTCCGATTTCATTTTTAAATTTTTTTACCGTTACAATCATGTCTCAGTTTATTTCAAACGTATCGTTTAACTCGTTTTTTTACAAGCATTTGGCAGAAAATTAATTTCATACGAAATAAACGGAGCAAAATTTTTTTCATATAAGTACGAGATTTAACGAATATAATTATTTTTGTTCTTTTACTTTTTCGTTATACATAAATTGATTGTAAAATTTTTCATTCTAACATAAATTAATATTGTAAAATTATTTGATATAATTAATATTATAATGAAAATTATAATAATATCGTATTATTGTAATTTTATGATATTTTAAAATATTATAAAATGCTTTCAATTTGATAATATAATACTTGTCATTATTATAATACTTTTAATTTTATAATATAATATTTGTTATTATTGTTTCATGGAAATAATATATTTATGTATTAATATCTATTTTAAATGCAAAATTATAACAAAATTTATCAAGGTCCATTTATTCAAAGATTGATTATCAGAATTTAATTATAGAAAAATTGAGATCGTTATAAACTATCGACTACGTGAGGAGAAAAATATATTTGCTCGCACTTACCGTGATTATCGTGGTAGTTGCAGGATCGCGGTCGGCTCTTGATGGCTTCGTCATCTCTGACATCTGAAGATGTATTTGATGATGCGTATCAGAGAGCGAATCTTGGCGATCACTTCCTCTTGCATAAGATTAAAGCACATGGCAATTAACGCCATTCCTGAAAAAAAGGAAGGAACAAGGACGATTCAACATCCATGAAGCATGTCGAAAAATTAAATTGGAGCGCGATATTTCAAGCATCAGGGATATTATTGCGCGAATTGTTGCGCGATTCGGCCGCTCTTGTGTGGAAGCGGTCGGAGCCAATATTCGATAGCACTTGAATATCTCCGCGAAAAATCGCGCCCGTGCAATCGGGCATCGATCGAAACGAGCTTAATGCCATGTATATACGCGACGACGGGTGCAATCGCGTTGCAGGATTTAAAAGCGGTTGATCTCTTTTAAAACTATTGTCTTTGCGCCGAAAATTTCGCGACAATCCGATTTCTAAAAAAAAGAGCCATTTATTTTTTTCGCAGTTTGTCGATGGCTGAAACGAATGCGTAAATCGAATGACTTTGACGCTTTTAATCCGTGACGCCTCGGATGCCCAGTCTATTTAGTTAAATAATAAAGAACTTGAAAGAAAATCGAGGGGATTTTCCTTTTCTTTTGTCAACTGCAAGCAATTTTGAGTCGCCAGCGTGAAAAACTTACCAAGCATCAGGTACATGGAACAGAAGATGAAAGACATTTCCAGGCCTTGCCCGGAGTAGATCTTGTCGCCCGGGACGATATCGCCAAAACCTATAGTCGACAAAGAGACGAAGCAAAAGTAAGAACCATCCAACATGTTCCAGTCTTCCCATTCCGAAAACAGGACCGCACCGCCCCAGATATACCTGTCCAAAAAGCGAAGAGAAGTGCACGTCAGTCAGGTACGATTTTCCCAGGGAATCTCTCTCTCCTCGGATTTCCGTGACGAGTTTAATCGCGGAATGTGGGCGCAAACTGATCATCGAAAGATGTTGATAAGACGTAACTTAGGAAAAATTGCACATCGGGATTTTGACTTAAAAAAAATCTCGAGGGAATTCGAGATGGAGGGAATTTGACAATCTCAAAGTTAATACTGCTATAATTCTTATCAAACTAAGTTAATATAATAAGAAATGCCAGAAGATATTTCGATTCCGATCAAAATTATATTTCGAGACTTGGATTCAATAAAATTTTAAGTAGCAAGATACTCGATAGAGTTTTGCGGCAGATTCTCTTGCTCGAAATAATGAAACATTTATAATTATTTCAGAGAAATTTATATATATTTTGATCCAGTGAAATATTTCGAGATTTCATATTTTAATTTTTCATTTCGAAATATTTTAAATGTAATATTTTACTTTTTTTATTTGAAAATGTGGATTAAAAAATGCAGCCAATTTTTTCCCCTCCGATTGTAATTGTTTTTAAATTGATAAAATAAATTCTTTCCAAGATATTTATCTTTCGCATTTTTTACGGATTCGTTCTTAATTAGCAATCTGATTATCTCTTTCGCTAGACTCACCCCACCATGATAGCAAGACATAGAGTTAACGGCACCGTCACGTGCTGTGGATCGTAGCTGTCGCTCTCATCGTCGCCTTCGTCGTCGTCCTCGTCACCGCCCTCGTCGCCGCCGTCGTCATTTCTCGGCGAAGTTTCTTCCAAACTCGACGTGTCTACCTCCCCGCTGTGGGTGTTCACCATCTGCAGACGTAAATCCTGTTTGAACAGCCTTTACGCAGGATATTCCAGAACTGGAGTCGAGGTCCCTCCATAACGAGATTCTCCCCTTACTTAATTGGACGTATCGCTTAATTCTCATCGTAATAAACGTATCTTCGCTAGTAAAGAGACTTAAAACTTTGTCGAAGCGAAATCCATTTGAAATTAAGTCAGGACATTCGCTCGAGGACCAAACTGTGGACATTGCAACGAGACAAAAATCTTGTTTCGAAGTTTGGTGTCTCTTCTAAATTCTCCTCGATGATTCTAAAAGACTCTGTATAAACCCCGCCGAATGATATCGTTTAGAGCACGATCCTGACTCACCTGCCATCGATCTCTCTTCGCAGCTGGATCATCGTCCGGCATCTCCGGCGCGTCGGTCGTCGATTCACGAGGTCTTCTCCGACACCTTCGAAAGATCAATCAACGTTAATTCAGATGAATCTTACGTCAAAATAGAAAACGATGACGGTCAGTTCCCGCCGAGGAAGGGAAGCAACTTTTGTCTTACTTGCACAGGCAGCAACGGGCGTAGATCCATTTGAAGCTTCTGGCCAGAATGTCGCCGATATTGCTAAGGTAGAGGAGGAAGAGCGGCATCCCTATTATCGCGTACACTATAGTCACGACTTTGCCCCATTTCGTCCTGGGACAAATGTTGCCGTAACCTGCGCAGTAAACGAGAACACGGCCAAGTGAGTTTATCGACGAGCTACGTGTCCGCTTCCGTCCCGTGTTTCTTGCTTCTTGCTTCTCCGCGTCCATACATACGTGGGCTGATTCATTTTTGATTAATTTATCGCTGAGTGTTTCGGTAAAGTAAAACCTGGTGCTAGTATCGCGCCGCGCGTCATTTATTAATCGAGAAAGCGCGATTGAGGGTTTTATCCGGAAAGAGTATCATATGATTGCGATAAAAAAACTGCACATAAAAAGTAGAGTCCCTAAAATATAAAGTCTAGCCACTCGATTAATTTTGAAAAACATAGCAGCTATTTGTGGTTATTTTTTGTAACCACAGATGTTTTTAAATATTTTACAGCCATGGAATTTATTATTCGACAATATCTGCCTCATTTAAACAAATATTAAATAAATATTAAATATAATTTAATTCGTTCTTTTATGGAAAAAATGAAAAGTGTTTCTTGTGCAAGCCTTACAATTGTTATCAATTAGGTTTAAAAATTATGAGCCAGTAATATAAAAATTATGAGATTTATTGTATATAGAATAAAAATTGCATGTACTAAAGGACGACTAGTCAAACCAATATATAATAGTAAAACAATGGCTATGCATTCTATGTTAATAATGTTACCAAATGTTATATTTCTATTTATAAGAATTGTGTTACTGCGATATAGAATAGTTATTTTGTAGAATAAATAATTTTTATATTACTGAAAGTTAATTTTTTATTTTTGTATTTAAAAATTGATAAAAAGGAGTACAATTGTTGTAATTTTCTTATTTAAATAAATATAAATTGTTCGCAATTTTCACTTTTTTTTAAATTATTAAACTTGCTTATAACAATAATAATTCCTAATAACAATTTTTAATAAGCTCTTTAGTAACAATTTTTATTGGTTCCGACATGTTTTTACCAATTTTGAGATTACGTGGCCAGACTCTATATTCTAAGGAATAAAAAGAAGATTGTCCTTGCTAATAATTGAGATAAAAATCTGTCAAGACATTTTCTTTCAGTCTATCATGGATATCCTTGTGTCATCTTACAAATATTATAGATTAATTTGCGTGTTCAAATGATAACTGACTAAACATCTCAATAATTTTCTCTCGAATAATAATATTTCTCTCCTCTTTATAATGCAACATTCTCGGCATCGAGTTCGCGCATATAACTGACTCTCCATTATCGCATAGATAGCGATATCCGCATCAATTATCTTCTTGGCAATTCAACCGGACGCTGTTTCAACAGATGCGCCCGCGAGAGTTGGACGGAATCCCGAAAGTTTCGAGCTCACCCCCGCGGGAGACGTAAACAATCCCCCGACGAACGAACCGCTCGGATATTCATGTTTCATAACGTGGCGAAACGTGCTCCATAAAACTGAGCAGATGCGGGTCTTTAAAAAAAAGAGAGGAGGAAAGCACCGAGAAAAATTTTGCTCGTAAGTTCGCGATTCGTTGGACGTTGAAAAAAAAAACGCGCTCCGTTCCCCGCAAAAAAATGATATTTACGGAGACGGAAAACGACAGTTTCCGTCGTAACGACTAGTACACCCTATATTTTTTTTTAATAATTTCTCGATTTGCGCGATAACGCAAAGAAAAAAGGACAAAAAAGAACACAGATCTATCTATGAGAATATTTTGCAAAGAGCGATTAATATATCTTCTAGTTAGAGATATAAAATGATTATACATTGTAACATTATGGCAAGTATCCGATTGCTTGTCGCGATAATAAATTCCCGAACATTACATTTTATCGTACAAACTGACGGAGTGGTTACGGCACCTCGCCGTTGAAACGAGTTTAACCTACATAGCTGATAAATGTTGGCTAAACTTGGACTTGATAAAAAAAAAGTTGTATTAATATCTAATTGGTCGCGTTAGTATTTTGCAGAAACTTCTGCAAGCTAGATTTTAAAGTAAAAATTGGTATATCTCATTATTAAATTAATATTGCCGCATATTAAATATATCGGAGTAACATTAATATTTCCACGAAGAAAGACAGATATTATCAATATTAAATATTGATAATATTCGATATTTTTATCTCGGTTCACTTATCGTGAATAACGATTGTCCGCATTTCCGAAAGAATTTTAGCGACTATTATTGTAAAAAAGAGAAATACCAACAAGCTGTAGTCCGGCGCCAAAAAAACCGATGCGCGATATCAAGGGCGAATCGGAACATGTCTTGTAATCAAGCGAAAGTCCCAGCAAAAAAAAAGCTGTTGTCCTTTTTTTTCACGCGAACAAATATACTGGGAGATAGAGAGGTAGGACAAAAGAGGAACGTGACGAGGATATGCATTCAGCGTGATTTTTCAGGAGAACCGCATGTCGAACTTCCGCTTCGCATGCGGAATATACGGGACGCGGACTTCATTTTCTCTTTTTCTCTCTTTCTCTCTCTGGTGATCCCTCGAAAATTAGAACGACATCGTCCGGTCGACTGCGATTCTTACGGATCTCGGCCAAACAAGCGGCCTTCGCATCGTGACGTTGTACAATTTACATTTTGATAAAAATTAAAAGTTCCGAGAGAGAAAACACGCACCCGGGACTCTGACCGCGATAAAAAGAGGCGACTTCTCGCGGGAAAGTAATCTGCATAATAAATTTACACGACTTTGCAATTCATGTGTTCTTCACTACTGGCATTGTGAATCACGTGATTACATAATTTTCATTTCAAATCACAATTTGGTCATAATTTATTTTACATTTTAGTATTGTGAGTCACGTGATTACATAATTTTCATATCAAGTCGCAATTTGTTCATCATTTATTTTACAAGCCTGTCATACTTTTCTCTCTCGTTTCTTTTTTATTAACGTTACTATCTCCAAGGAAAAGAGCACTGCGAATTTTTGTGGCACTTTTATCATCTATATTTCTGAATCGTCAATTTTATTAGGCAACGTCGTAAAATTGAATTCGAAATTGATTAAAAGTTTAGGTAGCGCGCGCATGCACGCTGATGATTATCCCGAACAGGATGCAAAATTTTGTTAGCCCGAGGGACGACGCCGGCGCGTCTCTAACGCGAGTCCCGAAAATTCGGAACAGCACGGCCCGAGATCTCGTTAATTTTCGAGGATCGGCGACCGACGCCGATACGATTTACGGCGGACGGTCGTCCCGGCGTCCCGCGTCTTTTAGTCGGCGATAAAACCGGTCGTAAAGTCGGTAAAGCGGCAAACGGACGCTTAAACGCGGAGCTCCGTAAATATCGCGTTTTACTCGGGACTTTCCGCGCCGAGAAAAAAGCCCGTAAATCGCGTGGTCCCGCGATTTACGTTCGCGAGGAGTAAACGCGAAATTCGCGACGCATCCTCGGGACGACGAGGTCGCATTCGTCGACAGTTTGACTTATGATGCGCGACGTGACACCCACCTCGCATCGCGATCTCGTTCCGAAGAAGGGATTCCCTCACGAGCGCACCGACACCCCGAGGGAAATTTTACGAAGGAAGAGAAGGGGGTAAAACGGATAAAACGTTCGCCTGACTATGACAGAATGTTTAATTAAATGATTGTAATATTATATCGAACGAGATCTTCGTATATGTTTTATTCTTTTGTATTTCAAAGTATAAATCTTTACGTTTTTCCATTGAAATACTATATCTAATTATCAGCGATTGCAATGTTTTGTTTTTCTTATTTCAATTTTTAAATATAAAAAGGCAGAAATTTTTGATAATTCTTGCTTCTCAGATTTAATTTTTCATATCTTTCTATCGCGAGAGATCATTTCTGCGTGAAAAAAATTTGCTATATTATTTTATTTTTAACTTTTCTAAACATCAAATTTCGAAAGATTGGAATATCTCGCGAGCATCCTTCTTGTCGTTTTTACAAGCCATTGCGGTATTGATTGTCTATCAAATCGGTCCGATTCGCATGAATAAAATAGAGAGACAAATGTATAAAATGAAACGGATAACAAGCGAGAATTAAAGGGGCGGAATTGGAGCCGCGTAACAATTTATTCGGGAATATCAAATTCGGGAGGGGACAGGCTGCACTCGTTCACACGAAAGAAAAAAAAATCTTGCCGCGAATTTTTCATCGATGACCGCTCAACGCGGTCTATTCAAAATAGCGAAAAGTTCCGAAAGAGAGAGAGAAAGATTTTTTCTGCCCGTTGAATAAACAATCGTTTGCAGCAACACTTCTCTAATGGACGATTGAACGAAACGATTCCATTAATTTAATCGATATATATATATATATATATATATATATATATATATATATATATTGCAACTGGTCATGTGCAATCTTTTTTTTACGTACTTTTTCGATACTCTCTCTACTCTATTGACGAGAAAAAAGCGACAACGACACCGTCGTTCAGATGTTATGCTACAATCGTGAACTATCTGCGATGCGTTGTATGTACGACGATAAACACTACAAATACAATTTGTATTGATTTGACAACTTGTTGAACGACATTCAAACAAAATCAAATTGTCTACTTTCTTATCTTATTCCATAAAAAATAAATTACATTATTTTTCTGTTTTATTTACTCTGAATTCCTGTTTTTTCCTATTAAAAAGTATAAAAAGATTATATAACATTACATCATTACGTAATTAATGACAGAGAGAGAGAGAGAAAGACACGTTAGCTTTATTTTAAGAGTATTAAAATATATTACAGTATTCTAAAATGTTCTCTAGCATTAAAATGTTTTACAAATTGTAACATTTTCATATTATCTGCCGTCTTAACATTAGGAGGGTTAAATTCCCGGCAGTCTCTCTTTTAAGCCGCAAATGAAGATGTTATTTTTATAACGGGGCAAACTCCATTTTACATCGCGCTAGTGTACCAAGCTTTGAAGTTAAAGAAGCGAAAGAAATTTAAGAAAAAAAGGGAAAGAGAGAGACTCCTTGAAGAGAAACAGCACGCTTATTAAATATGCATGCTTACTCTCCTT